ATATATATATATATATATATGTACATATACATGAATCTTACATACACACACAGGCATATATATACAAGTATTAGCGTTTAGAAGAACGTTTCTATCATTTGTATGACAAACAATTATTATTATTATTATTATTATTATTATTATTATTATTATTAATATTACTACTACTACTACAGAACACAATCTGTTGATAGCGTGTTTTTTCAAGTTTTGCGCGCACTTGATCGAAATTTCAAAAATAATCAGAGACTTCCCCTCGAGATAAACTTGGATAATTATTTAATCGGTCATCAATCGAAGATAAGAAAAAGATTCAGAGGATCCATGGGATCGTCTGAAGACCAGAACTATTTTTCTAGTTACTACACACGTAGAAATACGGATCTTGTGAGTTGAGCATTGTTTGTTTTATAAAACGTTCTCCTAACGAAATTATGGTGGGCTCAGAAGTTAATGGATCATTTCTCATCGACAACAATCTGTACCGCGAAAATAGCCTTTTATTATCCAAATTTTCAGTTGATGGAAGAGTTTGGTCATTATAATGTGATTTGTAGTGACTCAAATTCAATATGTACTTACGAATTCATATTGATTATGAATATTCGATACCTAATGTCTCGTCTCATGGGTGTCAAATACTATACACGAAGGAAAAATACATTTCAACGAGTACACTTGCGATGTGTTCATTTTATAGAAGTTGCGAGTTCTAGAATGAGTATCTACAGATTTCGAAAATGTACTTATAAGTGGCTCGATATTTGTAAGATTCGAAAGTTTTGCAAGTAGTAGTCGAATCTTGAAAATCGGAATTCTCACCGAGTGATCCTTATTTTTTAATGATCTTACTTTTAGATACATTCATTTACACAAGCAATAAGCGAATAATTAAAGTTAATGTGTAAGTAACACGTGTAACACTAACAAATGTATACGCATCCTTAAATTCAAGTATACTTGAAAGTATCACTGGAAATAATACTGAAAAATAATACTCAAGCCTACTTGTGAAATATCCAATCTCATCTCTAATTATGGTATTATATAATAATTAAATTGTTCCATTGATTGAATATTTATACAACGAATGTATGTTTGTACAAATCATGTTTAATGAGAAATGATTTACACTGATTAGCTTCTGAGCCTTCCATATGTCGGTTACGTTGGTCGAGGCATTGTTACGTCTTTGTTTCCTTTCTTTTTTTTTTGCTAAAGTAGCGACAATAAAGAACAGAGAAAGAAAAAGAGGTGAACGAGGACAAATGAACAGAATAACCAAAATAAGGGGAAAAGGAGAAGAGAGAAGAGAAGGACAATCTTGAAATCGATTCTTTTCCCGCGTTAATTTCGACAGCGAGTGTAAAATATACGAGCATGTTGCGAAACTTGAGGGAAGTGAGAAGCTTGTAAAATTTTCAGATAAACGAAAAGAATTCTTTTTTTTTTTTTTCTTTTTTGTAATGTAATGTTTTCATTGCGATTCAATATCGGGGAAAACAAAAAAAAAAAATCAATGTATCTGAGTTTTCTCATTCGAAGCAAGATTTAATGCGAATGTACGAACTCGAAGCTAGAACGATAAGAAAGTATAATTAACCGATAACTTTGCATTGTACGAAATATAAATTATGTTACGAAGAACAGAGAAGAAGTTTGTGTCTATGGGCTTTCTACCAGCGTCGTTTGCGAGCACAAGTTACAAGGACCCGAACGATTATAATTGTTAAAATGATTTTTTTGCCATGCCTTCAATTATCTGATATCGATGTTATTTGATTGCTTGGCATTAAATGATAATCACTTGCGCTAAAAATTGTTCAGAAGATTACTTGTTTTTGTTATTGGCCCCTTTTTATCACGTACGCGCGCGTTCAACATTTATTATTATCAAT